AATCAGAGTGTGTTGTTTAGTTTTGATAACATCGTTAATGGGATTGCAAGTTAATCGTTTTAATTTAGTTTTGTTTTTAGGAGTGTTATGCTAAAAATATTTTCTTTGACGTAAAGATAGGAATGAGTGGTTTTATCGCAAGGTGACACATCGAGGCCTTCTTTTTACGTTGTTTATCGCGAACAGTACAATTTTGGGAATTAATAGGCCCTTTTAGCATAAACGGGTTGCCTAAAAAGGCCCAGGTGAATCTCCCTCGTACCTGTTGAATGGGAAAGGGGGTAAATTGGCACCCGTGTCGATCCCATCAGCGTGTAATAAGAGTGCTTAACGTCTATTCCGAATGCAAATTAGATAATTGAAGTCCGTTCGGATTGGGAATGTCGGTCAAGGCCGAACGGCTGGGAACAGAACAGTACATCACTTGACGAATGGGACTGGGTTCTTATCGCTATATCCGTTGGAACATGCCGTTCTTTACAGCCGCCGCCGGCTAAACGGCTACAACCGGCAACGTGATTTCCGGAGTAAATACGGCCTACTATTGTCCCGTCTAGGTAGTTATTATTTCCCGAGTCCTGAATTGGGTTTCAGTACTGGTATAAAAATAGAAAGGTCGATGCCTATCTTAAAACAGTCGCAACACCTTAATTACGACGAATTTTCTGCAAAATGGATTCGTAATTAAAGTCATTACTATATATAAAAACTAGCCCTGAATTATGTCTTGTTACATAAGTATGTATCCGCGTACCATATGTAGAACTTTTCAAATTAACTATTCCGGTTCTCCCCTCAACCAAAACCATTCACACCCAATATCCCATATCGTAAGCCTTTAAAGAAAGCTCCTGGTTTCGACCTGATCACCGCAAAATTCCTTCGACTACCTAAAAAAATCTTTACAATTCTCTCCTTAGATCAACATACTTTCCATCCCAATAGAAATTTTCCCTCATCCGAATGATTCCAAAGCCTAAAAACCCAAATAAATTTCGGTAATGGACAATATCCTGGAAAAAATGCATAAACGCATTCTCCCCATCCTTCATTCTTATAACATTGTCACTGAACACCACTTTAGGTTCAGACATTTTCATTCCGTTCAGCATCGCGTTGTAGACATCATCGTTACCGCTCTGTAGCAAAATGAGTGTTGCTCCGGTGTATTCCTAGGTGTGAAGAATGAAAAGTTCCCCGTTTTACCTACTACCTCATCATAAAAACCTACGTATCAGGCAGATACTTATACTACAAGACATCAGTAGCCACTCTCAGCCGGGTATCGCACAGATACAGTGGTACCGCAAGCAAGTGTCTTAGGGCCCATGCTCTATACTACTGCAGATATACTTACTCTTCAAGAAACTATCCTTACTTTCTATGCGGATGATACCGCTCTCGTTTGCTCTCATAAATTCATGTCATTTCAGCCAGAAACCTACAAAGCCATCTCAATTCTTGAGTAGTGGTTCTATGACCATAAACATACAAAAATATGAACATGTCACTTTCTCCCTTTGGATTATAACCACTGCTATCACCTACTTCAATAGTATCCCTCTCCTACCATCTATTGTATATACAAAGACGAACTTGTTACTTGGAACCCTCACTCGCAACGCAAAAGACAACAGCCAAACAGACGATTGCTAGATAAACGGTCAAAACTGACTTGACAAAATAAACGACTCATTCAACTATTTTGAGACCCACTTGGGCATACGGCATCGAACTTTGGGGTACAACAAAACTTTCCACCCTCCGCATTCAATCCCTACAATCAAAAATCCTTTGAACCATCATCACTGCTACTTTCTATGTATCCATCTTATCATTTAGAATGACCTTAATACCCATCCTTGGAGTTGTGAAAAACCACTAGAAGAAGTTTCACAGTCACACAAACCCTCATACCAGAAACCTTTATCCCGCACCCATCCAAATAATCTTCCCCGAAGCGTCAATGGCCTCGCGACCTCCTGAGTGACAGTGAAAGTGATTAATGTTAATATGTAGGAGTGTCTATTAATGAGTAGTTACTCTTTTTTCTTGTTTATGTATAGATTTGTGTTCATTTTTTTACGCTGTAAAATGCTGTAAAGTTTTCTTAAGTGCAGCAATTTACGCAGGTGTAAATAAAGAAGAAAAAACTATTCCGGTACCTTTTGAACTGTATTATTTTTTAAATTAACAATTTTATTTTTAAAAAAGGGGTTTTTTCCTGGCTTTCATTTATATACGTAGATTTTTGGAATCTTTTTGTCTTTATATGGATCTTACATATGTACCTTTCATTAAAAAGCTAAAAATATTCACACAAAAAAACTGCAAGAGTTCAACTCGTGGTCGTTGGGGTGGGTGATTCAAAACTAACCAATATTTTAAGATTTCGCCGTATTTTCTTTGGGTTGGTGAATCTGAAATTTGGTCGTTACCCATCTTTTGGTCTAGCCATCCTCGTAGGGTTGGTCAATGACGTGTGTTTCGCCATTTTTAGTGTATAATTCTTGACACAATGCCGAAATAAATTTGACATACCAACCTAGCCAAGATAGGCAAACCAAAATGATCTTTAACGACCAAATTTCACAAGCCAATGTACTCAACAAATCATGCATAAAACTGAACTGAAGACGACAATAAACGTACCTTTTTGATAAAGCCACATATAATAAATAAATTTTAAGAAAAATTGTGGTCCTTGTGTGGCCAGTGGGATGAACCTGTATCTCAACCATCCCTTTAATTTTAAATAGATTGGGCTTAAACAGTTTAAACAAGGGAAAAATAAACATTTTTGTGTTTTCTTAAAAACAGCAGTTCTGTCCCGTTTTGCTTTTTTTGGTTTACATTCGTATGGTCAATTGACTTCTGTTTTTTATATTTCCGAATAAAGACATCAAATATCCATAAAAATGTCTACATAAATGATCAGGGAAAAGTTGGAAAACAACGTCTTTTTAACATTTATAAGAAGTACAGTTCATGCATGTAGGTTTACATAAAATAGTTGAATTTAAATCCATCTGGACGTTTAATTCAGGTTATTTTAAACTAAAGTCTAATCTTGACAAAATTGAGGCATTGTTTGCTTTTAGAAATATTTATCTTGTTTTTAAGTTAAACTCTGTGTACACAATGGCCTCCTTTTTCTACTGTTTTAAAAACATACTATGTGACGGTTTATTTAAAAAAATTACCGTGTAACATCGGGCGTTTTTTTGTAAATTATATATTTTATTTGATGCATAATTTCAGAATGGACATTTTACAATATGTAACATTGTTAAGTTTCATGTCCCTCCTTTACTAAAGGGTTATGTTAAAACCGAAACTATGAATGTAAAAAATATATTATAAAGATATATATGTACAGTTGAGCGTGAAATGTATGCAGGGTCGTGTGAAATAAATAACACTTTCCCTTTGAAATGAAGTCTTGAGGGAATTCGAGATATTTACCGGTACGAAAATATTGATACATCTTAACTAAAATAACTGTATACACATTGACCTTCTTTTCTGCAGCAATATTATTGCTGTATAAGAGCGGGTTCGTTTCCAAATGACACTTCCTGTCCTTGTAAACTGAAGTCTTGAGAAATATTCACATTCAAATATTTACTCACGATCCTTATCTATAAAAATAACGCCCTCCTTTCATAATTTGTAAGCGTGTGGTGATCAGTGACAATTAATTAATTATTATTTAGTTATCGTGAGATGCGGTCTGGTGTGATGTAGGTTTAGAAAAAACATTTTCTTTATAGTGCCAAAGTTTCGATCTTTATTGAGATACTCTTTAGAGCCTGGGATTTATAAACATTGTTTAAATTATACAAATAAATGTAAGGTGAGAAAATGAATTTACACAATGATGTACACGATATAGAAATTTCAGGTTTAATCAAATTATTTGTACTCACTCAAAGTGTGTTTTGTGTCGACGTATCTATCTCACTAACACTCTACACAAACACAACGTGACACAGAAAACACATACTTTGAGTGTACAGATACTTCAATTAAGCCTAAAATATATTATGTACATGATTGTATAAATTCATAGTCATATTTTATATGTATTTGTGTAATTTAAACAATGTTTTTTAAATCCCAGGCCCTGAAGATGATCTCAATAAAGATCGAAACTTTGGTACGATAAAGAAAATGTTTTTCTAAACCTACATCACACCAGACCGCATCTCACGATCTCTAAATAATCACTGTGTAAGTTTAAAACCCCTATTCTGTAATAAAAAATTTATTATGTTGTTGAAGAAATAGCGTGGAGGTTCATATAAAATTATTCGTTTCATCTTTTACTGTTTTCTGTCCCTTTGCAGCCAAGTCCTGATGTAATTCTAGATGATTCTAGTTTTTCTCATATTTTTTTGTGTTTTTAGCATGAAAAATGAATTTAAAATATTCATAATGCCTTTATTTTTTAATGTGACGATTTAAAAAACAGAATTTTCCTTAGGTAACTTTTCTAAATACGATTTTACACCTTGTCTCCTCTATTGTGTTTTGAGTATGTGTTGAACCGTTTCGTCGGAATATTTTATACAAATTAAAGGTCCATTTCTAAACTTTATGAACTCGGCGGCTTTTTGTTTTTGCAGTTCATTGTTTTATATTAGGCGTATTCGATTCAGACGGGTTGAATAGAACAGAAATCCGTATACTTTTGAAAGGATTTTCCCGGTCTCGCTGGGTATTTACGAAATATAAAACGCGAAACACCATTTTCTTCCGAACGCCCCATACAAATAATTATCCAACGTCCTCCCGTTATTCTGTTGGCAATGGGTGTAGAAAATAAGGTTATCACTCTTTATAACCAAAATTGCCTCATTCAAAGATCCATCATCCGACTCACAGCTGGGCAAATAGCTTTAAAATTAAATTTAAAAAAACTAACCCAAAAAATACATTTTAAAAACAGAATTTATTATCAGTTTATATAGGATAATGATGGATCTTGACTTTTTCAGTTTGAGCGGCGAGAGATCCGAATCGCCGGTGAGCGCGAGAGTCCACCACAACGGAAGTTCCGCGGCCGGGGCGGGGATGGAGCAGGAGAAGAGGATCCGGAGGGAAATCGCCAACTCCAACGAGAGGCGGAGGATGCAGAGCATCAACGCCGGCTTCCAATCCCTGAGGACGCTCCTGCCGCATCACGAAGGAGAGAAGTTAAGCAAGGTAAGTCGCAGCCCGTTCATATCGTCATCCAGTAAACCAGCTCGTCGGTTCCCAGTCCGTATTTGAACAGCTGTAACCCTCCAGCTAAATATGTTCAGCACATATGAGTGACTTATAAATAACAGCTATTTTAAATATGACTATAAAAACGGAACCTTTGGGCCCATCGCCTTTCAGGCTGACAGTGAGTAGATAATTGTAATTATGCCTTTGTTCATCAAGATTATAATAAATCTGGGTGCCTGGTCTGATCCCCTCGAGGAATCATCAGACCGCCACTCTTTTGCTTATTAGAATATGGTTAAGCCGATAACTCTCGTATCCTTGGGTTTCACCTCATTTACATGCTAATGCATACTTCTCGTTATAAATTAAGACTAAACAACTCTGCATGCTGTTCCGGAATCACATATGTACCATGTTTTGTACAGGCGGAATGCAAATGGGCCTTTTGAGTTGACAGACGTGTTATGTAACTGCAGGCGTTACCAAGGAGTAACTTTAAGCACTTTTAACCAAGCACTAACTTTAAAAACAGTAGCTTGTAATATTGAGTAACCTTCAAAAAATTTCTCAACTAAAATCCGCCTAATTTCTATTTTTATATTGTATTTTTTGTAAGTAAAACGATCACACTTCTTAGTACGACCTTTTACAAAAATGTTATAAGGGATTATATTAGGCCTCTCGAAGAAATGTTTCATAGTATGTATATTTGTCCATATATTTTCCAACGGATTTAACATTTATATCTAAATAAAATATACTTTTGCTTATTCTGCTGTTTCCTAGAGGATTTAACAGATCGAAATAAGTTTTATTTGCATTTTCAGAATTTGACGTTTAAACAGCTGTTAAATGCTCACATCAACACGCTTTTAAAACAAATTTTTAATCAAAACTATTTCTTTTTGATGAAAATAAATGTTTAATTTGATTTTTTTTGGGGGGACAAAATATAAAATTAAGTCGTTTAAAATGCAGAATTTGTATTTGTTGTGAATTGTGTCAGGGATGTTTGGATGATAAATGAGACCAAAACAACATTCCCTGCCTTTCATTTCCTGGTAGTTGCGCGGGGTTTGCCTGTCGGAAGGATAAGCCAGCTGGGGCACATAAACAAAACTGACCTCCCTCCAATTCATGACGAGTCATGACCGGCAGTCATTGACATTGGCGAGGGTGAAAGACACGAGAGGATCAAGAGGGTCCTCGGAGACGTGAATATAAGAACTGTGAGTGGATGTTCATTAGAGTAGAGAGTTTGTAGTGTAAAATCTTTGTAGGGCCGAAAATTACCGAGTCAAAGGCTTGTGAAGAGGGAGCCAAGGGTGAATGGGGCTAGGAGTACTAGTACTCCTCGCCCAGCTGATTCCTTTCATCGCCCTACTCTTTTAACTACTTTTACCTCCGACCCCTTTTGTTTTCTGAAATTGCGCCCCATCTGCATTTTTTCCTTCGAGTTTAATTGATCTATTGACTCTTCTCTTTCCTATCGCTCAGCTGGTTTTTTCGCTTTTTAACTACCCTATTTGCGATCGTTAACGATTCTGCTCATCCCGCCTAAAATGTTTATACATTTATGCGGTTCTTAACGGGCACGGCTGGGAAATTTATGCAAAAAGGCCACCGTAGCGATAAAACGAATGGCATTTCACCTGATAAGGTAGTTCGTAAAAGTGCAGTAATTGCCACGTGCCGTCGTTCCACCTCTAATGACCCTAATCCGCTATTTTACTTATTTCACGTTCTTCTTTCCACTTTTTTACTCCTTGCATTTACTAGTTCTATGTATGTCTAGTTCGTATAATCATATTTTCTTTTGTAATTCTATACTATGTCTAGACTAATAACACCAAGTAATTTTCTGCGTTTAAACACGCACTTAAAATGTAAATTTAATCATCAAATTAAGTTTATGCCTTTTATATGACTTTTTGTGTGATATCTGAAGTTCAACTATTCTTTCCTTCGTAAAGAGGTGCGAAAAAAGGCAGTCCTTGTTTAATCGACAAAGCGATCGATTTGTTCCCCTAAATAGACAATATAAACAGACCGGCACTTTTATTTATACCGTTCTCGGGATCGTTCGCCAAATCAATTTGGAACACGGACAGTTAAGATGGCTCGTCGTACTCAGGACGGCATCTGGGCCACCGTTCTTCAAAAATTCATAAGTCGACCCAGTTTTGTCAATCCAACGTCGCGATGGTGATCGATCGAAATTGCTTTTACTATTTTTCCTCTTCATACATGATTCTGTTTCCCTTCAATTTTGTAAATTGACAATTGACTATGACAATTGTTACTTTAAAATCGAATCAATTTCTTTCAATCATTGTAATTATTTCTCCAAGTCAATAACTCTAAGGTCAAAAATAGTTCTCTTGTAATTGTCAAATTTTATTTTTATTTATTTATTTTGTAGGCATATATGACCCCATAAAAATTCATTGTACGTTTAAGTTTGCGTTGCATTTATCAGTCTTATAAGCCAATTGGATTTGTCTAGAAATATTTATTAGTTGGCCAAATATTTCGCTGAATTAGGAGTTCAATGCCCGTTCAATCCACGAAACAAATTCAAAACCGTCAGTATTTACTTAATCTTCGTATCGTCATTGAAAATGACTTCGTTTACAAACTGGCCGCGGTAAGAGTCAGAATTACTCAGCAGGAAAATATGTTAATTCTATTGTATTGTTTTATCAGGTCGTAATGTATCGTTAGTGCTTTTATTTATTTTTAAACATCATACCATCGAGGTGTTGTATATCTCGAGAATTGGCTTAAAACGGGCATTGCCCTTGGAAATTTTATTTGAGACCAAGTTGACAAAAATAAAGTATTATAATGGTCTGAACCATCCACCACGACACCATAAAATATGTCTCGAATTATTCAACTTAGTTATTTTTGAAACTAACATTCCCTTGCATCCAAAACCGAGTATTATTGCTTTTCAATAAATTGCGTTCCAAGAAACGTTTGAGTAGAAAGCAAACAGCTGCGCCCATACAATTATAAAATGATTAGACCAGAAGTGACCAAATCGGGAAGTTTTACACGTTAGTAATTTTCGGAACTTTTTCAAGGCCTGTTTAAATATAACTGAGGCTTAGTAAGCAAAAAGCTTTTTTCATTTTTTCTTGAGACCCTCCGATTGTTTGTGAGGTCGACTGGTCGTCTATTTGAGCACTCTTCCCACGTTAGAGCTCGACCGACGATATTTCTATTATTCTCGATTTCATCCTATGTTTCATCAGTAATTGCGATGCGAAGAATCTAGGTATTTGAATAGCGGATTGTCCCCTTTTCACGTGTCATTCCCAAGGCTAACGATGACGACGGAGTTCGTACACGGTTTTTTTCTTTAAGGTGGCTCCAAACAAGCGGTATTAGCCGAATCCCGCCAAATGTTTGCCAAGTGCCGTGCGAATCCTCAGTTTACTACCAATCCTGATGGACAACTGAAACTGTTATTGCAGCTGCTGCGGTTATTTTTTGGGGTAAGAAAAGGAGATGGTGGATGGTATTACTGAACCATCGACACCTTCCCGCTCTTGGCGTTCTCCTTTATTTTTCCATTTTTATCGTGTCAAAGGCATTGGACAGGCCCTAGACTTTACCACCGATGTGGTAATTGCCCTTAGCCATAGTCTCCAGGTGAAAGACGGTTGCTCATTGACCAATTTTATGACGGCTTAAATATTATGATATAAAAGAGGAGTGTTTTTCTTTATTGAAAATGACAAGAGTTGACGATGGGTTTTGGTCTGCGATTCAGTAAACTCGTGTTGAACCGGCATAGGGTCACTTAATGGTCCTGTCTGACAACGCAGGGCCAGGACTCAGAGGAACAAACAGGAGCAGTTCTTCACTGATGATGGCGCAATGCCATAGCTCAAAAACCCGCAAATGGAGACTGCCCAGTAAGTGACCCTATGCCGGATCAACATGATTATGACCAGTTAGTCCGCTTAATGCATGGAACAGGAACTTCATATTTTACATGTTTTTGACATATTGGGAATTCAAGGTGTATTTGATTTTTGCTTGAAAGGTCTTAAACTCAATGTTTTTGATAAACATGAGAACAAGTCAAATCAGTCCTGTTTTTCTTTTGTTCAGGGTACTTTCCATACGCTATACTTTACGATACTTTTAAGACCAGGTTTTTAAAAGTATAAGGTACAAGAAATGTAATTCCATTAGTGAATCCTTTTTTTTAATCAGTCAGAGTACTGATGCCCCATCCTACATTCTTCGTGTTTCCATGCATCGTTCCATACATCGAGGGACGTCAAAACTTGCATTGGGCCAATCCATACTCAATCAAAAAATAATGCTACGTTGTTATTGTGTAAATTAATACATCTATACTAGTTAGAAATTGTTTATGAATGAAAAATAAATAGCATTAAATAGAATTATACACTTACTGTTGATGTTAATAACAGTTGACAGTTGGTTAAAGGTATGTACAGTTACAGTTCCCGAATGTTTGGAGGCTTTGAGTGTGGTTACTTCACGAATATTCGTGCACTTTGAAGCGGGCAAAAAAATCGACAGTAAACCGAGCACGGCGAGCACCGGATATCTTTGCCCGGGGAATAACTGCGAATCCCGCATGTCTGGAGCCACCTTTGTACAGGCCCAACTTAGAGATGTCGCTCAGACGTAACGCAGCGAAAGTGTTTTCCTCGTCATACTTTCGTCGGGTGGGTCACTAACCCAGTAATCAGGTGTTATAAAGGCCCCCCGACTATTATTAGTTTGACGTCTGTGCCTTGAGTCACGTAAGCCCCAAAACGGCCGCCGTCTGACCCACATCTCTAACCAATCATTTATATTTTGACCGTAGTTTGTAACAGAACAAGGTCCCCGAACGAGGCTAAAGGGAGAAAAATGTCGATGAAAACCTTATCTGTGAACAACGGCGATAAGCTATCGGCTTCCTCTCGCCCATCCGTCGATAACCTTAATCTCAAACGATTGAG